AGCAGCTCTTGCAAAAAAAAATGTGATAACATAAGCCATTTGTACGTGCAGGTAAGAGGTGGACTTATGAGGTAGTCGTTAACAATACACGCCCACACATTCACCGAGAAGCAGGTTTGGAATGCATGTGGACGCATGCCGTTAGGAATATGAATTGCCCACATGTGCATGTTGTGGCTATTGAAGATGCTGTCCTGTGAAAAAGTTGCCTCGTCCGTAAATAGCACATCTGATGGGAAATCCGCTTGCGCCGCACACTTCTACAAGAACCAATGACAGAAATGAACTTGAAGAGGGTATCTGTCTCTTGCAAGGCTCAGACTCTCTGCAAATGCTATGGGTGCAAACCATTTTCATGCAATACTCTCCAAACGGTGGAATGACTCAGCTGCAGATTACGAGCAATAGCTCTTGTACTTGCCTGAGGTGCTTCATGTGCAATGTTCAAGATGGATTCTTCAATGTGAGGTTGTTGTGCACTTCTTCCACTCCTAGTGTCAGAGGTGGCTTCAAATGACCCGTTTTCACACAGAGACCGATGCAACCTCTTGAACATTATGTGCTTCGGCATAAACCGTTCCTGGTACAACCGTAGTACTGCTCTGCCGTTCCCATTAGCAGCACTATATATGAGATGCATGTCAGCTTTTTCCCTGTACGTAAACTCACCTATCACGCTCGACATCAGAGTTGCGAATGATCCTCTGATGCATCGGATCATGGTTTGCCTGGCTCACTACCGCCCTTTACCGCTGCATTGCCAGCCAGTCACAGCTGTAGTTTCTATTACTGTTAGTGTTCCTTTTTTTGAACATTTATTATGAATACTGTATTGCTCCGCAAAGAAGCACTTTGCATTGATTTTGCACATAAACACATTTTCCTTTCGTGTCTTTCTTTCTTTCTTTTTTTTTTTTTTTTTTCTTTCATTCCTACCTTAACCCGTCACTTTAGACCCTACATTCCTATGCAAAAAAATGCATGTTTTAGTATGCTCCACCACCCTTCCAAGTTTGTCCTATGATCTATGAAACATCCTGTATATGCAGTAAATGAGATAATTAATAGAAGGCAATATTATATTTGTAAGTTACATTTGCAATTAGGCGAACATAGATATATATAAACATGAATAAATATAGTAAAAAAATAAAAATTACAAAACATACATGGTGGTAAATTTAATGCAGTGCTTTAAAAAAGGCACACTAAAACTGCAGTATAAGTATACTGTACGTTTTGCTATTCTAGTTAAAGAAAAAATAACAGTATACACTACTGTCATGAATAACTATAACGTAAAACCTATCTCTGCATGAAAATTATCCTGAATACTGTCAACAGAGTGCAGTGTTTTAAAAACATAAGTTTTGCCTAAAATATATGGAAAATTATCAGGAATATTAGCAATACATGATATTAATAAGAAAGTATGCTGCAAGTGAAAACAGTCACAACTGAGAACAGTCATGCCACAACTGAGACCACAATTATTGATAGAAAATGTACATTGAAAAAATAATGGACTGAAGTTATAATACATACATGGTGGTTACAAATATATGAAAAGTTTGGTAGTATTCTTATGCCAAGAAGCAAATTAACAAGAAATTTTCTAACGTTGTGACAACTTCTACTATAAAGAGCAATGCAAAGTACAAGCACTAGGTTGTACATATATACAAAGTGCAATGCATTGAGTATATCACAGATGGCATAAATCGCTGAACCGCTTCAGTTCACCTTAGTTATGCATTGTTATACAAAGTAAATACAGTCAAAAGTTTTAATCTGGACTCGGGACTTCGGCGATTCCGGGTCATCAGTTTTTCCAGATTATAGATCATCAGTTTAAATCTGGTAAGATGACATGCAGAAATTATAAAAATTAAAAACATGAAACCATAATTTATGAAACAAAGAGAAATTATGATCTAAAGGGTATCAAAATTTACAAAAAAAAAGCTTAATATTTATTTGTTTACTTTATTAAATATTTCTTTCAATGCGTGCATGCGTAAAGCATACATTATGCATAGTCGAAATTAGGAAATTGCAACCAGAAAACTATTTGATGTGTATTATTCGTAATATTTATAATGACGAGGAAATTGATTTAAATTATATTGGAGTACATTGAGATGAAACACGACATTTAGTGAGGAATTATAAGCCGAATAAAATAAAAACATCTGCCCTGAAGATAAGGATAGTGCTGACAGATGAACTTCCAGTTCATTGTGCGCCGCGACGTTTCCCCCCGTCCCCGCAGAGCAGCGTGAAATTGATAAACAGATTTCGGAATGGTTAGAGAAACAAATCACCTCTCTGTCACTTTCTTCATGCCTTTATCCATTTTTTGCAGCAATTCCACTTTTTGTTTAATGGACATCGAAACATGCTTTCACTTTGTAGATCCTTTGGCAGCTCCAGTATTGGAAACTCTTTTTGACATAATCGAAAGTTCAAGCTTACTTTTTATAAAATTGCTCTAACAGTCTGCAAAAAATAATAAGCCGGATCTAATTCAAAGATTAAAGAACAACGCAATCTGCAACATTAACTGAAATAGATAATTAGATAATTTTAGCTTAGCTTATACCATCCATTATACATTCAACGCGCATGCGTAAACGTATTATGCGTTTACGCATGCGCAGAAAGTTTGTAGCTTCGAGGTCCGAATTATAGATCATTCCGGATTATGGACATCCGGATTAAAGACTTTTGACTGCACAAGTAATAAATACTGAAACTGTATTCACAAAGTCATTCCTAAATACAGGCTATCACTGTTGAGATGTGAACACTCGCAATATAGCAACATCATTAATTACTTGCTGCTATATTTATATTCAAACCTGGGATTAAAAAAAATAACAAACCAAATTTTTCATTGAGGAAAAGTGCTAAATATTGTGTCAATTGAGCAATTTCATCGATTTTTCAAAAATTTTCATCACATCAGCTTCCAGACCAGCATAATTACTATTTCTATGCGATTACTAACTCCTGAGATACTGAGCCTGAATAATTAAGCAGCCTCTAAATGTTTTCCATTAAAAATCCCAGAGTGGCAGTAATAAAAGGCTCTTCCGATGTCCTAAAGTTTTTTGTTAACTGATGTTGGCAGAGGCAAACAAGGACCACAAAGTACCAAAAACAGGATCATCAGCTAGCCTCTGGAAGATTCACCATTTGTAAATATATTAATTACAAAATTTTCACAATCATGAATACTTGAATAGTATCCCTGCCAAACTGGGAGAGAAACATGTTAATGCAAAATTTTAAATTAGCCAAAAGTAACCTCAGTTTTGTTTCATAATTTTTTTAAAAAATGTTCCTTAAGAGGAGAAAACTGTATCTAATAGTCCTTGAAAATCCACAAAATTTCATTCAAAATCTGCCATATTAAGACTACATTTTTATTTAATTTTAAAACCATTTCTATATTTCATTTAGATTTTTACTTTACACTCATGTCCATAAATTAAGGATAATGCAAAATCAGGCAAAGGAAGAGTTAGAAGCAAAACAAATTTGACTTATTTGTAAAGCTTATTTATTAAACAAAAGGTAAAGAGCAAAAAAAAGATGCTATATGTTTGACATTATAAAAAAAATTAGCAATTTTTTCTCCCTGGAGCAAATTAAAAAAAAAAAAAAAAAACAATATTACATGGTTGGTATGATTGTTAATACATTGTATGTCTCCCAGACGATGCAATACAGTCCGTACAACGCCTAGGCATGCTGAGTATCAAATTATCGATCTGATCTTGGGGGACATTACACTAGTCAAAAAGCAATGCTCTCCGAAGTTCCAGTAGACATGTAGGAGCAGGTTAATGGGCTGCAACTCGTCGGCCAAGCACGTCCCACACGTGCTCTTTTGGATTCAAGTCCGATGAGAATGCTGGCCAGTCCATAACGGTGATATCCTCCGATTGAAGGCATTCGCTTACAATATTTGCATGGTGAGGATGGGCGTTGTCATCCATAAACAAAAATTGTGCGCCCATGGCGCCCTGAAACAAACATACATGTTGTTCCAGAATGACGTCCCAATAGATTTGGCTTGTCATGGTTCCAATTTGAACATGCAGCTCAGTTCTGGAACCCAGAATAATTCCACCCCAAACGAGCACTCCTGCACCACCGTAACAGTGTCGTTCAATGATATTTTCTTGGTGGTAACGGGTACCTGGAGCTCTCCATATGAAAGTCCGGTGAGAATTAGATGGCAAGCTAAACCTGGACTCGTCGGAAAACATCGCACAAGCCCACTGTTGCGGTGTCCACAATGCATGCTCTCTACTCCAGGCTAACTGCAGGCGACAGTGAGTTGCAGTAAGTGGAATGCATCTGACAGGTCTATGAGCATATAGACCAATCTGCCCTAAGTGCCTGTACACGGTCTGCCTTGAAGTTGTCGTACCAGTGGCTGAAGAGAGCTGAGGAGACAGGTCTGAGGCTGTGCCCCACCTGTTTCTTTTGGCAGTAACTGCCAAATACCGGTCCTCATTCGGCGTTGTAACTCTGGGGCGACTTGTGCTGTAACGTCTACTCACATTACCATCATCTTGGAATCGTTGTCAAAGCCTGGAGATGACACTCTGGGCAATTCCAAGTTTGTCTGATACTTCTAGTTGGGTACGCCCATATTCCAGACGGCCGATAATTCTACCACTTAAAAAAATCATCCGAATGCGTCCTTTGTGTCATAACTATTTGGTTATTGCACTGAAATGCTTATAAAGTACCTGCGAACAATTTTACTTCTTTGCCTGTATTCCTTATATATCACTCTCTTACACTCTCGTCGTTGTGACGTACCATCGGTGTCATCTGGTTACTTCCTGAAATTTGCATATGATTCTTGAAGATGTGTGTAGTGATTTTACAGGTGATATATTTATTTTAGATTTCGATTTCTGCGTGACTCGGAATTATCCTTAATTTATGGACATGAGTGTAAAATACCAATATATACTTACATTTGCAAGTTCCAAAGACTCATTCATTCCCATTTGTTCAAACATATTTTTTACATCAGCAGGATCAGTTTGAATAACCATTGTGTACAATTCCAAGAAACCTTCAAATGTTAGCTGCCCATCTTCCATTTTAAAATTATCTAAAGGAGTTCAAACAAATGTGAATATAAATTGCTAGATATATACAGAGAGTCAATGCTTGAAATCAAATTTTAATAAAAATGTGAGAAAAGCCCTGACTAAGAGCACTATCTATTTATCTGGCAGTAAGTGCAAAACAACTCAATGTTCATGATCTAAATAAATTTTTTAAATGTAACAGTAATTAAAAACTAAAATCCTACAGTGCATAATCTTTCTCTATATGTTTACTGTGTGTATATGTACATACATAAATGCACATAATAGAAGTCTAATAATCTGCCCTTGCTTAAGCCATGTAATCAGTGCTCAGTTTCAGATATTATAAACAAAATATCAATTTTCAGAAAACCCAGCATGGTACAATTAACTTTTTCTTGTATGTAAATGCAAATAAACTTTTATCAGCGATGGTGAACGGTGCATACCATAAAACAGGTTGAGAACCACTGCTGCACACAAAGAGCTCTATCAATTTATCAGAAATTAGGCCATTGTGAATGCTAATGTTTTCTATAGACATTTAATTTTTGAATAACTAGTTATTAAACAACTAAGTTTTATTCAGTTTAATTAATATCCATCAGAGACCTATACAGCAGCATTTTTAAATGATAATACTTTATATCTTTTTTTGCATTGAAAATATAGGTGCAAAGGGGTTTTTAATAGAGAAATAATATATAGTTATAAATTTGATAAATAAATTTCAGAAAATTTAATCGATATTAATGATAAAGTAAATAATTACCATTATTGTTTTCTGGCATTAACACTCGTGAATGTTTTCATTAAATGTATATAAAATATTATATTTCATTACATCTCAGTAAAATTGCTGTAAAATTACTAGTTTCCTGTATAATAGTAAATATGTTAAGGAAGCAATGATTAATGAAAAGTTCACAACTGTTGTGATAAGCAACAATCAAAATTACATCCAAATTATGAAATATATTTCTTGTGGATAATAAATGTCTTTACCTTCAATTGTAGACCACTCATCAGCAGCAGTTTCTCCAGATGTATGCTGAATGAATAAGTCAAATTCAGTTTGACTAAGAAGACCATTTCCATCAAGATCAATCAAATCATATATTTCTTTTAATGCTCTTTCACAATCAGGTGTTAATGCAGCTTGTTTCTTTTCATCAATATTCAACAAAGATTCAAAATCTAAACTTTCACTAGAAGTTGTACTTTTGACTTTATCCCACTTTAAAAGCACAGGAATTACTACATATTTCCCTTTTCTCAAATTAAACTGCATTGTACAAAAGCCCTATGGGAAAGAAGAAAAATTAGCATGAAGTTTTTGCACCTGTATTTAAAAAGATAATGTCAGAATTAAGGTCTGTGATTTTATTTACAAATATTTTCATTCAAGTTAAGAAACAGTCAAACATTTATTTAAAAACATATGCTGGTAACTTTTCAGTAAAATGTGTGACGATTAGCTAGAATTACAATATTAGAAACTTTTTGATTTTTTGAAGGAATAATCTTCAATTATATTTAAAGTAGAAACACTCTGTAGGTGTATATACCTGGTCACTAGAATATGCCTGGCATAATTTAAATGTGAAGATACATCACAACAGAAGCTCAATTACTGAAACAAACATTAAAATTCTCAAAAATAATCTAGTACCTAATTGCTTTATTAATAATTGTCTTAAAAGAGCAAGTCTCTATAAATCATTTAACTGAAAGGGATATGAAGATTTGTTCCTAAACCTGAAAAGGCAGGATAAGATGGATGACTATCAGTTGAAGGATTTGTACATAGTGTAATTACAGAAATAATTGTATATAATGTAAAAAATCGTTGTTTTCTGGCTTTCTTATCCCTTTTGCTATTACTAAAAAAATGAGCCTATTTCATACTCTGAGTCTGTTAAATAGCTCGCTCGCAGTGAAAATTCCTCTTTCTTCTTTGATATGCCATGACAATTAGCCAAATATTAATTAATTTCCATTCACTAGTCAGTATAATATCAAAATTTTAACATATGCCTTTGGACTCGCAAAAGAGCTCCGCAGCCACTTTCCTTCCATATACCAAAAATAGCTTCTCAAAGGTTCATCGACAGTAATAATTCAAAGGATCTCCACTGCCACTCCCTGCATATCCGATAGCATAGCCTACCACACTTATTCTGAGTAACAAAACAGATACGCACACATCACCGTCATCTCACTAGAAAGAACATAAGTTAATTAATTCATATTCTGGCCTTATTGTATATTATGCACATTTAACTTTGTACATTTCCTTGTACCTTTTCTATATACATTTCAATTTTTCAACTTACATTTCATTAATTTTGCAAATAATGCATTGTTTATTATGTTTCTCCTGTTCATTACGATTACTTTGAGTCCTATTTCATAAATATAGCAAAGATTAGCTTCCGTTTATTGTATTTATAAAAATAGTTTTGAATTAACATGTATGAAAGTGAGTGTGTCGGGGAACACTTTACTCAAGTATGTAACAAAATATTTTTACAACTTAATTTGGCTAAGTCAGAAGTCAAACAACAAAAATCAGCGTTATATTTACAAAATTTTCACAGGACTAGTTTCGATAGTTTTACCGAACCACCATCTTCAGCTGCAAAACCGCAAATCAACCAGATAGGAAATAATGATTAGATAAGATAAGAAAGCCTGGACAAGAATAAGCAAGTGGCACCATCTGTTGGTGAAACCAGAGCTAAAACATAATTTTTTTAAAGGCCGAATGCAAATTTGGATTGGAATTAGGATCGTTAACTAGAACAGAAAGATTTTTATGAATGTGAAATGCCTCTAGAAAATCCAGTTCTCCAATGGAAGATGTTTTTTGAATAATTTTGGCAGCAGAAAAACTGAAAGTGTGGTTTTCGGATCAAAAATGTTGAGCAACAGAAGACTTCTGTGTTTCCTTTTTTCTAACATATGCCTCATGTTCCTTGACGTGAAATTTTAAGGCTCTCTTAGTTTGGCCAATGTAAATTAAACCACACTGGCAAGGAATCCTATAAATACCCCAGGAATTCATATCCGGAATGGGGTCCTTGAGTATAGAACTCGGAATTTTATTGATGGGAGAATAAACAACCCGAAAGTTAAATTTCTGCAAAATATGTGCAACTTTATAGCTAATTGATGGAAAGAAGAGAATGACAACAGAATTTTTATAATCTCCTAAAATAAGAGTGTGCCTTTTAGTGTGTGAGATGAAAATTTTTTAACTGCTTGATTAATAATGTTGGGTGGAAAGCCCCTGTCAATAGCTATTGCTTTTAAATAATTTAGTTCTCCATCAAGGGCTAGTTTGGAGGAGCAAACTTGAAGAGCACGGAAAACATAGGAATAAAATGAAGCTAACTTTTGTTTAGTCGGATTACATGATTTAAAGTGTGGTGGAAGGCAAACCGATGAAGGTTTACGGTAAACCATAGTACTTTAGTTGGATGTGTTACTAGACTAATCTATGTCATACGATTCTTATGCAGTTCTGATGATGTAAATGGAACTAAAACTCTATATAAAAATAGTAATTTTTAAGAGCCAATAGTAATTTTACAGCAATACTAACTATCCAATCAAAATGCATTGAGAACCAAAACTAATTAAATCTAAATTAAGATTTCACTCTGAACATAATGCACTTGCTTTCTATGCTTTTGCCTAGCTTGACTGCCATCTGTCTGCACCTTCTTTCTGACTGAAAGTTTATCTAAAATGTATGCTTTTTGGAATAGGCACAATTAATGTGCAAGCTTGTCTGTGGCCGCAACATGTTTACTGAAATAATAAAAAGATTTAATCTGCCCTCGCCTCCAACTTCCTATTCATTATGGATCAACACTTCTACGCCATCAAAATTCCTACTGATCATTACTTCTGAGTTTGTTTTTATTACACACACACACACATATATATATATATATATACATATTGTTATGTTCTACAGGTTCGCAGATTTGGAGTAATTGATGATAACACTTGGTAATGAATCGTAATATTATTTATTCACCAGTATTACACAAGAGAGTTCTAAAGACATGTTTACAATCATAAAAAATCTATGATAAACACCCTGAAATAATCAGCAACAGAGCCTTCAGACTATAATGATGAACACAGCTTCATGGCAAAGCTAGTACAGTGCACAGCAAAGCACTCAAAGTCAATTAATCTCTCTCAAGCTAATCTCTGGACTCAAGATACTACTGCTCTATTCGTAGAGGCAAGTTATATATAGCTTTAACCTACCTTCGAAACTATTCTCAGTAAAACCACTAAGAATGCATTCTAAAATATTCTAACTTCATCTATGGCATACTGCCAATTTTGTCACCAAATCTGGCAACCCTGCCTTTCCCTGCCACTTTCTGGCAAGCTATCTCACTGCAGCTGGGCATTTTGCAATATATTTATCTTACAATAACTTATTTACAAGATATACAGGTGAAACATTAAAGTTGTACTTGAGTGTAAAAGTACAAGTAGTATGTGAATATAATGTAGTTTGGAAAAAAATATGAAAAAATGGCTACCAATTCAGAGTAATGAAAGTAAGAATTGAGAACACTCACTAGGTGAGAGTGAATACCATTGAAAATATATTCTGCTCTTCCTCCCTGTCATCCACCTTAAACAAACAAACATGTGGTGAAATGGTCGATGATGCCTTCTCCATAACAATGTACTTTCATTCTGCTATCCATAATAGTCACAATTTCTTGCCAGAAGTGATATTAAGTTATGTTTTATATCCCAACTATTTGCCTAATTTATTCCCAGAAATTGTATTTCTTTTCCAGATGGGAAAAATACAGCAATACTGCTTTAAATTGCTCAGGAATAATCATATCAGTGATGTAATACAAGGGAATAGTTTTATCTTAGCTAATTTTTAAACTGTGTGAACTAAACAAATTTCTAGCGAGACTCATATTTATGTAGACATGGATCATCCTATCCCTTTGTAGGCTGAATCATAAAATTGACACATAAGCAATTGCTAAAGGAGCATGCAGCATAAATTCAGATCTTCAGATAATTTCCTACACAGTGATATGCAGAACAGTATCAAATTGTACTGTTTGACCAATCGGATCAATGAATGGAAAGGAGTCCCGAGATTAAAAAATTATGAGAAAGCTATATATTCACAAAAACAGGATTACCAAAATTTATTGTGAATGAAGAGAAATTATTTAATACATTTCCATACATAAAATATACTTCAAAAGCAAATCTGAAGTTTGGAGCAAATTGATGGAACAAAAGTGTCTGTGAAAAATGATCTGAAACAGCCACTCATTTGATATATCAGAGTATAAATACAGAAAATTTCAAATTTCTTGTTATCTTTTATTTGACACTGCTATGACTAAAATAGCAAATGGAGATGCTTTTCCTTTAAACCAGAGGTTTCCAGTCTTTTTCTTGCATTAACTACTAATTAAGTACATTTATAAATCATAATTTCTCTTTTAAACAGAATTTGAATGAGTTAAAGAATATATAGTACAAAATCCAAAATATGAGCTCATCGAAACTTCTGCAATTCCGGATTTGGGAATTTTTCGGGTTTTGGATCATCATTTAAAATCTAGTATGATGACATGTAGAAATAATGAAATTACAAATATGAAATAGTTGTTTGTGATATTGTTGGATTTCACTTGATCTGGTAATGCTAATTAGCCCAAAAACCCTAACAGATATGAAGCAATTTATCACTAGGTCTGAATAACATCAATGTCATCAAAAGGTTAAAAATAACAGCACTTATATTTAAACATAATTTAGAAAACAAAGACACTTTCTTGTGCTACAAAGCAAGCCACAACTCGAGATGATGCAAATAAATAGAACAGTCAAACTGAAATCAAATGTTGAACAATAGTCAAGAAGTAAATACATAAATATTACTAGAAGCTGACTCACTACACCACTGGAACATCAAGAATGTTGATAGTGACCTTGCATTAGTGCAAGGCTTAACAAACTAGCAGAGCTGGCAGGAAACTAACAACTATAGTGTGCATGCAATGCCAAAAATACGCTGTGCCTTAACCTGTTGAGGCCAGGGCTTTGGTAGTAGTAAAAGCCTTGAAAGGACGGGGAATCTTGAACCGAATGCTTTCCCCCTTTAAGAAATCACCTCCTATTTGCAATAAAGATTCTTGTGTGTAGTTTAATGAATTCTCAGCGGGGTGCATCTATGTCGCAAAAGGAAGGGAAGTGTAGGGATTATTGACCAGACTTCAAAATGGTTTT